TGCCACAACAAACAATTCAACCAAACTACGGTCTTGCCTCTGGCCATCAACAATCTCAGTACAAGACAGTATTTGGCAGTTCAGGCCAAAGTACCTTAGCATTGTTTTTGTGTACATCAGATCTGGAAAACCTTGTGCAGATCTGTTAGGCTCCACAAATGGCACAACCACAGCCCTAACCACAGGAGCAGTTGACCCCTCAGGCCACACACGCCCTCCGGCTAAATTATTGCCAAGTATGACATCTACACCCTCCACTGGCAGAGATGGCCACACTCCAATGACCACCTCCCCCCAAGACCTGTTTGCAGCTCAATCTTGTGCAGTGGCACTGAAAGCGGTTGAAGCTCGATTCCACAAATGAAAAACATCCAAAATGGAAGAGAAAGGCATAACAGATTACTGATGACTGAGGCCCCAATATCCCACAAAACTTTAACAGGGACTTTCAGATCATTTTCCCACCAGAGAGACAAAGCCCTCAGTGATAAATGGAGTATAATCTACCACATCTGAAAGATTTATATTTCCAAATTCACAAATTCACATTAAGTTGCATAGGCTGCTCTGGATCAAACCCCTTCATTGAGCTTCTTAACCTTCCTATGGTGTTGGGGTCATTTGTAAGTTTAAAATGCATAAAAGCACCACAAATTTGTGTACTGCATCAGGAACCTCTTTTTAAACAAAATAAAAAAAAATGTTCACTAGGCAAGGCATGCCCAGACATGTAAGGCAAGATAAGACCAATTCAGTTTAATTCTCTTGAGGTTTATTTTACCATTATTTTTTTTATTGAATATGAGAGGTATGCTGTCAAAAGAAAGGTCCAGAAAGCCACACCAAAAATATTAAAACAAATCTTTTCATGGATAAGGAAGCTTAAGTTAACCAAGAGGTAAGAAACTAATTGAATGATAAATTACTGTTTTGAGGGTATTTTACGGCTGATTTAATACAGGGGCAGGACAGACCTGTTTATCATAAGAGATAAGAACAGAAAACTAACACAGGACAAAGGTTAAAATGGTCAGCTCAGCAACATTTAATTTCCCCCCTCATCTGAGAGGAAAAACTGAAGCAGCACAGCCTACAGGCTTTGCAATACGTGATTTAGTCTTGTTACGAGCATTCAATTTTCCAGTGGCCCTCAGACAGTAGTGGCACTTATTCTCCAAATTGACCTCACTACCCTCAAGCCTAACTGGAGGACCAACCTTAAGGTGACCAGGACAATGTTCTCTATATCCAAAGCGTGGAGAATGCTGTTCCTTGATGTGACATTTGTGTGTCAATATAAACCCATCCACCAAGACTGCAGCTTCAGCCCATCTAAACATTATGCTCACTGACATACATGGCAATTCGTTCATGAAAAATGTTTTTAAATTGCTCCAAAACTACCAAATCACACAATGCCTCAAAAGTCCTCACAACTTCTGCTGTACATCATCGATGGAAAAATCTAGTAAGCTCTCTAGCCATCTCACTTTGAGTCTATTTATCAGCCTTTTTCCAGTTCCGAAAACACTGTCTGTATGCCTCAGGTATTAATTCATAACATTTTAAGACTGCCTTCTTAACATAATCCTTCGCTCTGAAGGTGGCAGTGCAGGAAATGCCTCCTGAACTTTACCTGCTAAAATAGCTTGCAACAACAAAGTTCTCTTCATCACTCAAATTCTGGTCAGCTGCAAGATTTTCAAACAAAGGAGGAAAACACATTTGGTCTCCTTCATTTCTTTGGAAGAAACTTTATCATGCCACATAAGCCTGACTGCTGACCTAATTGATTTCTAATACTACTAGAGGAAATTGTACCTTCTTCTAACCTAAGCCTGGGGAGCTGCAATTCCCCTTCCTGCTCTTGGCCTCCAAGTCTCTCCAACTCCAAACAATTTTTCTCCCTTTCTTGTGTTTCTAACTTAAAGTTTTCTGCTGCTAATGGTACTTCATTAGACTTCCCAGCCTAGCTAGTCCACATTGGGGTGGAGTCACACAACAATGTTAACAATACCAAATTAGAGCTCCCCAGTCCCTCCAGGTAACACTTGTTTCTCTTTTAGGTTTTCAAGAATAAATACAAAAAGTTCATTTGTCTTTGCAGTCAATTCTACAAAAAAAAATGATCGGCAACACTAAACTGATCCTTTGTTAATGTTTCCAATAGCCTTTCTGACAACACTTGTCCAAGGTACTCATTTTAAAGTGTTTCTCAGTCATTACAAAACTATTATGCACAATACTTACACAACCAAACCCCTCACAAAACTAAAGACTGACATTTCAAAATAAACCAACCACCTAACAAACCTGCCAGAGGAATACAACTCATGCAACAGGACCAATTAACCCTGGAGCTTCCCCATATCTAAACATTTACACCCCCCCTATACTAACCTATCTTCACACTAGGCCTAAAATCCAAGCTCTTCACCACTGGAGTCATACTGTCCTGGTTTATGCAAATCCAGCAGTTTCCCCACAATAGTGTCTCTGCTCCAAACACTAGTGGCACCAAAATCTAATCCCAAGCGCAAAAGTGATCTAATACAGGGAAACGCTGTGCTCCAAAATTCTGTGGCCCACTACACAAGCGGTACCAGCTAACACATTATGAAACGCAATGGGTAGACTATACAAATACTCTACAGATAACCAACAATTTCTTACAATTCACTACAAACCACAATGCCAAATTCAAACAGATGAGCCCCCACATGTCACATCCACTTGGCTTAGAGTAGAAGGGACATAGAAAGGAGACCACACAAAGTATCTTTTTAACTAGAATGTATTGCTTAAATGTGGCAAGTTACAAAGAGGTCAGTATTAAGTGGCAAAACAAAATTACGATGCAAAATCAGTAGGCAGCAAAAGGAAGTCAACCCATGAGTAGCAAGCAGCACAATATCAAACCACACCCCTCCTTTATCCTGCTTTCCAAAGGCTCTTTTGTCTTCCTTCTCAGCAGCCCTTAATCAGTCAACAGGCCACACCTATGAGTGGTACCTCCATAACTCTACCTGCGAGCAATTAGATGGAAAACAAGGGAGAAGGAACAAACAAAACAGGACAGGGTAGTGAGGCTGGTAGAGGCTGACAGACTCAGGCCCCATAGCCATCACAATGACAGAAAAGTCTAGAATATCAATTTATTTTGTCACACAGTTTTATTATGTATAGCACTATGAAGGACAAAAATATGTCTAATGTCCCTTACCCTTCAGTTAACACTACCTAGAGGAAATAGCTAACGATAGCATCCCAATAAGCAACAAATGTGTTTTTAACCTACACTTAAAGATTGAAAGTATTAGAAGCTACAATAAACTGCACACACAAGCATTCAAAAGAAAACATAAATCCAAATACAACCATAACAAACCACTCTGATGAGAGAGAAGCAGACCTGCAGATGCCTGACTTTCATTTGAGTCAGTAAACTCCTTGGATTCTTGCTCATTCCCCTGTTTATTGGGGATGCAAACGTGGCAAAAGGCTTACCTCCCTAGTGGACAGGAGGTGTTACTGCTTCTGATTGTATACCAAATGCAGTCTGTATAAGGGGTGGCCAATCTTATTCGCAAAGGGTTTTCGCTGCAGCTAATTGTATTACTAATTAGAGGACTGATTGGCAGAGGAGTCCTCACACCTGGGTTTGAACAGCTGACCTAAAGGTTACCCCAAAAACTTGCATACACACCGGCCCTTTGCGGATAAGATTGACCACCACTGGTATAAGTCGTACTGTGGGTTACAATGAGTGGCAAAGCATCACAAATAAACTACAAAATGCACTTTCAAATTTCAAATTATACTACAAAATTTCCTACCTTTAAGTACATTTTCTTCCGTATCTGTTAATGGCCCAATCCCATTTATCCTCCCTTAGCCCTACCACTAGATTTCAAGGGCCCTCCCTTCCGAAGTTGATTTCACAGATCGTAGCCACAAGAGGTAGGGCTTGAAATCTTTACTTAGGAATCGGGACACCACTCACTTAGGAGCTGCCTGGTTTGCTCGGGAGTCCCTGGAATAGTGCAACATGCTTATAACACGGACAAGTCACTTTAACTTTACAACATGATTATACCACTGACGTGTCCCTAGAATATTACAAAATGATTATGACACTGTCGATTTGTGGATTAGCATTACTTTGGCAATGGCACGCAGATTTAAAATGAAGCATATTGCATGCAATATTTCTATAAAACATGCACACATTTTGCATAAACAATGTGTTTATGTTGTATAAACAATATGTCAGGAACAATGGCTTTTACATATTGCACGATGTAGAATAATACACTTAGAAGACTATTGCACGAAACACAGAAAACAATCGGGGGTGAGTTTCCCAAAAGTGTCGTAGCCAAAAAAACTACATAAAAAGGACTTTAAATGCTCTCTCTCTGAATAAATACGTTCTTAATTCTTTGGCGGTTTTGTGAAACTCACCCCTGCTCGGTTCTTTTTCTATAAATACTAAAGATACTGCTCTGTCTCTACGCACGGAATTAATGATTTTAAGAAAATTGTTTTTGAAAAATTCAACCTCATACTCCGTTTCACTTACATTAAACTAAGATATTCCGCTAAAATTAGATTTTGTTGCAAGCGTATTTATAAAGATATGAGCTTCTTTCCCCACACCGCTAGCCATCTTTTCTTTTCTTGTTGTGTATTGCAATGTATTGTGGGAATTTTCTTCTTTCACTTGGTTTTGAGTCAGCATCTGAAAAATCTACGTTTCGAGGGCTATCTTGAGGGCTGAACACCACTACCCCTCGCTGCTAAAAAGAAATGGGACAACACTACCCTACGTGGGTACGTGCGAAACTGAGGGGTAGGGCTAAGGGGTAGGGCTAAGTGGGAGTATTGGGATTGGGCCAATGTATTTTAAATATAGCTGTTATGGTTTTTCAAAGCAGTACTAAATACAATGCAAAATCTATAATACATCCATAGCAGACTGGAGTGTATAAGGGACTCACTCTCAGCTCTTCCATTTCTTCTTTACACTCTCTCTTCAGCTGTAAGAGGGCAGTCTGATGTTCTGGGTAAGCAAAAACAATAATAATAATAATAATAATAATAATAATAATAATAATAATAATAATGTGGTGTGTTGGAGCCCACCCAGAGTTGGTTCCTGCCTGTGGCTGTTGTTCCAGGGTATGGGATCTGGGTCCCCCGTGACCTCAGTGGGGATTAGGCAGTTACGATAATGGATGGATGGATAATAATAATAATGTAGCGGGTTCATAAGCAATCAGAATTCTCAGGGCAGATGTGCTCTGAAGGCTTGTTCGACTTCCTGTTATAGTTTTTGGTTATCTTGGCAGCAACCGGATCTTGCTCTCTCGTTCTTCTTTTTGTGGTTAATAAAAAAGTGCTTCATCCTTTTCACGGACTAAGCATCTGCCTCCTGTATTTTTCCTCTCGCCACAATAATATAGATAGATTCTTAGTTTATAACATAGTAGTGATTGCAGGAATTCTCAAATTTTAACATCCATCCATCCAGTTTTCTGTACCCACTTGTTCTATGCTGGGTTGTGGGGGGACGGGAGCATTTCCCACACACAACTGGTGCAAGACAGGAAATAACCCAGAATAAGGCACCACCTCATCGCTCATCACACACACACACACACACACCATTGACACACATTCACACTCCTGGACAACCTGGCAACTCCAATACATGGTGAGAACATGCAAACACACAAGCAGAGCAAGGGCGGAGACTCAAACTCTGATCCCAGACAACACAAGAGCCTAGTTGTGTGTACAATTTTGCCCACCTTTTTATAGGTATAGCTGAAAAGGACTTCACAGTTAGACTACAATTTTAAACTTCATTTGCAATATCTGAAAATAAAATTTGTATATTTGAGAATCAAGAATAAGGGTACATCTTATATAAAATTAGCTGATTGATTTCTATGCAGAGTGGATGCTTTCCTATAAATGGAAAACATTTGCCCTGTATGTGTTTCATAAATTCAAGAAACGCTTCCCACTATCAGGGTAAGGGTCACTCCTATCTGCTTTAGCCTGTGTAAATACATTACTTTGTGGATAATTAAGATTGGTTACGCACTATCAGAGAAATTAATTTGCTTGCTTGTATTCTGATATCATATTGTTAGATTCCCCAGCCATGTCTCTGACACATGAACACCAACAATCAATACTGCATCAGAATTTAATGTAATTAGATTTAATTTAATTTTTCGATTTCATATTAATCTTTTTGGAAGTAGATTCTGTTATGTTAAACACATATGCTGGGTGGAGAAGTTTAATGTTCTTTGTTCATGGTGAACCAGAAATTCCAGCAAATAATTGCAGTGGGGCGATTTGATTTCATCAAGCTCTGTGAACAGCACTGGCCTGCTCACCTGCTTCAGTGTATTTAAGGCCAAGCCTCACATCATCATCCTGTGACCTGGGCGGGGGCCACACAGTTTGTAGCCGCCCAGGTGTGCTCTGTTCCCTGGAGGAGGTGGGCACAGACTGATGACGAAAACCAAGAAAAGCAAATTATAATAATTTTCTTGACAATATAAACATTTTAATGATCAATTCCAGCTAGCATTCAGAAGTAGTTCCACATGAGTACTTTCTCACTTCAAATGATGCTGAGTAGCAGCTTTGTGGCTACAGTCTGGTATATTATTGTCACATTTAAGTTCTATATATTTTTAGTAAGACAGTAACATTTTCTTACAAGAAAGTGCTACATATGATAAGGGTGTAATAATGTACTGTGGCACGATATTTCACGACTCAAAAATATGACGATACACATTGCAGAGGTGTAACAATACACCGTGGCATTATATTATTCATGAATGTTAATGAAAGAGGAAGGAATAGGCATTATCTGTTTTGCCTTGAAATTTTGCTTTTGCGTTTTGTAATGGAGTCTGCAGAAAAAGAAAAAAACTACAAAAATTTTTTTTATTTGAAAACAGTTTTTTTAAAAACATAAAAAGTATATGCTTAAAAAGCATTAAATAAAAAATGTGAAATCTTAGTTTATTTTCAGACTCATATTGTTAATTATGTTATAAGTGTATCCAATCATGAGCCCTGAATCGTCTATTGAACTGAATCGTGAGTAGACTGTATTGTTACACCCCTAATATACAGTATAATCATAATAAAAAATGTAATAAGACACAGGTTCTGGTGGGGGAGGGGCAGTGCCCTTGAGACAACATGCATGAAACCCCCCCGTGCCCCCCCCTAAATATGTATGGTACTTGGGTCTTAAATAAATACATAAATGATAGAATCTTATTATATTTAGACTTTAGACTCTTAATGCCAGTGCGCCAGGTCAGCTTGCTTCAGTTGATGAAAAACAAAGTTAACAACAGAAAGAATAATCAAGCTTGTGGAAGCAAGACAAAATGCGACTAGAAAACATTGCATAAATAACTTATTGGTTTTCAGAATTGTTGTGTGCTTCTAAATGCTGGGAGGACATTAAGGTCAAATGCATCTAGTCCCCCTAACAGAACAACTGGTCCCAGTATGGCCCCCACAGTTAAAATGATCTAGAAACGCCATTGATAAGACATACTTTTGAATCTGAAGCAGCAATAGTCCTGGCATATGGTTTCTCAAAAAAGGACCTCAGCTTCTCCATGTCAGCTTTCATCTTCTTCCTCATCGCTTCTAGACCCATATGATCTGCACTGTCGACTTTTAGCTCCTTGGGCGTAAAGAATGCTTTGAAAGCATTGAGTGCCTCATTCGTGGCCTTCTGGCTGTCCTCTGGCCTGGCAGCAGACTTCTTGTCCTCTCCCGTAATTCCCTTCTCAAGCTTATTATCATCATGTTCTTTTTCCATGTCCTTCTTATCATCCAGGCTGAACAGCTGGGTGAGCTGTTCTAGAAATAGACCCTTGGGCTTAAATTGTGCTCTGGGCTCCCAACCTCTCCGAAGCTTTTTTGAGTTATTAATTCCAATTGGCTTTTTCCATCTGAGGTTTTCCTGTTTCATCTCAGGATTCTTCTCTCTGTCTTTCACCAGTGCCCCCTCTGTCTGGGCCTGAAGTCCATTGGATAAGGTAACTGGTGGTAAGGATTTCTGTACAGGACTTACAGGAGACAGAGTGTCCAACCCAGGAAGGGCGAAGAACAAGTCTTTATTAATTTCGGTTTTGGAGGCCATGTCTGTTTGGCTTTCAAGTCCTAGAGGTGTAGCTGTAGATTTGTTTTTATTAAGGCTGTCTCTTCCACTTTCTACACCAATCATAGGTCTTTCCTCCAAATAACTACCAGACCCAACCTCTTGGTTAAGGGAGGCTGCTGCTGTCACATCAGGAATTATATCTGTCGTATCACGTGACTGGTTGATAAGTGTGCAATCACTGGATGCTGTGGCTTCATATGATACAAATTCTAAACATGTGCCATCTGTTTTGTTAAAGTTGGAAGTCAAGTCTCCTGTGTTGGAATCTGAAGTAAGCAGCCGTTCTATGGTCAGAGCAGTGATACAGTCGTGGACTTTGGAACATGTGAGAACATCACCATGTATGGTATTAGAAGACCCATCAGGAAATGGGAAGGTGACAGAGGGTTCCTCTGAAACCTGCTCATTACGGCTCGATGCCTCTCCATATAGGCCTGCAGTGGTACCTTGGTGGGGCTGTTTCAGTCTTTCTTTATGTACAGGTATATCAGCCTGAATGCCCTTGAAGTCCCCCAGTTCGGTGCATTGCAAAGTCTCAAAGATTCTCACCTGTAGATTGCACTCACCAAGGCTGTTCAACTGAGTCATGTTTGCTAAATACTGGTCAGCTTTTAAACTGGTAATATTGGTTTTATTTGGTATTTCCTCGTCCTGTACCTCTGTGTCTTTTGGGGTGTCTGTCTCAGTGACTGAATTCAAATCCACATTTGAGGTACTCCAGAATCCAGTACTTCTTTCGCAAGAATAGAGATTGTCTTGCATCATGGGAGACTCATACAAAAATCCACATTCTGCTATCCCTGAGCTGCTAGCACCATAATTTTTCCAAGAGAGCTATAAAAGTGCTATTGCACCTGTGATTCTGGAGAGCTTGCTGTGGAAAGAATGAGCAGATTACATTTCTCAGTGCAATGTTAGCAAACCATTCAGCCATAAATAATGTATTTTTAATTTGTTTTATTCCTCTTCTGACTTTTCCGGAATGTTACAGGTATACATTTTGTATATATGACATATGTGACATGTCATGTATTATGTAATATTTGACGTATATAATATTTGTGTAAATATGACAATACATACATATTATATTTCATACTAAAGTCAAACAACACGACAATGTTCATCCAGCATTTTGTCTGTTTAGACTGAGGAATATCACACTTTCTGCAGCTTACCTGGTTCTGATTGCCTTTCCAGTGATTAATCTTATGAGAAAAATCCCATCTTCAACTCTTCAGCAAGTCACAGATGTTAATCTTTCATTCTCCACTTCCAAGAGGGCACTAGTACTAATATGAAACAAATGCTTCAAAAATTGTGCATTTGTACATTGTAAACCACATTTTTTTCTTCAAGCATGATAGGGTAAAGCTCTGTGGTCTTGCCAAAGCAAAAGCTTTTAATGTGACTTATCTGGAATGCCCAAACATGATAGGGGGGGGGGGGGGGTTAAGCCGTGCCTGGCTAAGGTGCCTCCCTGCCATTTAATAGTTTAAATGTGTCCCTCCCTCTGTAAATAGACATGGGCAGGGCTTAAAGCCATATAGGCCGCATTGAAGTTCAACATGCCCTTAGTGCTTGCAAAAGCCTGGTCAGGGACATTTTCTTTACCGCTTCTCATTTTGATCATATTATCATATTTGGCAGTGGACTGGAGCCGTTTTCATCAGGGATTCAGAGGTTTGAGGTAGCACTGAATGTTTTACCTGCTTCACTGGATAAAGCTAAGCTGTGGCCCTGCTTTTTCATACTCTCAGATACTTTGCCCTGCAGTGAAAGGTGATTCTGACTCTGTTAGGACTAGCATCCGCTTCCCATTTCTTGCCACATTTCAGACATATCTCATAGTGTGCCCTTGTAAGCCCTGTATTGGGGCACCCTTACTGAGGCAGAGTTCTCCTATTTACATATTAGGCACTTAAAGGTCTTGATCCTGCATACCTGACAGAATTTCTTCAAGCTTACAAGCCACGTCATCCACACAGGTCACAGAATGCAGGTTTCCTTATCGTTCCACATATAAATATAGGGAGAGTGGGCGGTAAAGCATTCTGCTACTGGGCACCTATATTATGGAATGGTTCACCAGCCTATGTTCAGGATGTCGATTCAGTCTCAGTCTTTAAATTTAGACCCATTACTTCAGTTTAGCTTATCCACAACCTAACATAACATAACCATGGCTGTTGATGCTGCTGTACATGTAATTTTTATGTGCTATGCTTCTACGTTTATGTTTCAACGCATGTTCTGACCATCCATGCTCTCTGCCTTCCCACATATCCGGGTGGTGCCCGGGGTGGGCACCATCTGATCTGGAGTCCTGATTCAGTCCCATTGAGGGGTGACATCACAAATGGGACATAAGAACTGTATCATTGGGCTGCAGCCTTCAGTGCCACCAGACACAGCCCAATGTGGAGAAAAGACTCATTGAAGGACTTTGTTTTCATTCTTAATTATAGCTTATACCTACCGTTTAGCTAGCATGTCCACTCTTTTCTGTTTTCGGTAATGTCAGTATGCCCAGGGGGGTTGGGCAGCCAGTTGACCTTGCACCCGAGAGGTTTTTTTTTTTGTCCCTACTTGGGAGTTTTTGGTTCCTCTCTTCCGTTTTCTTCTGGCTTTCTTTATTAAATTTCTTTGCTTCCTTTTTCCCGTTCTGTATCTCTCTCTACACAACCCTGTAAAGCACTTTGGGACAACTTTGTTGTGAAAGGCGCTATATAAAAAATAAATGTATTGCATTGTAATGTTTATGCTATTTAAAAGAAGTATGAAGTAAGTTTTAAGGACCCCACACCAGGCAATCAGCGGGGATCCAAGACACCTGGGACGACACTTTAAAAGACCTCGCCCCACGATTTCCTGATCCTTTACATGAAACATTGAGTATTTCTACTCTGTCTCCCGTCTAGCCTTGATTCTTCCAACCTGCTGTGTGATTGTCCCTTCGTCTCCCTAGATCCCTACTGTGTGTTTTCCCTTGGTCGTGTCAGTACCCCATTGGACGGACCTGCCTGGCTTTCTCACCGTTCAACCAGTGATCACGACCATGCTTCTGATTACCAATTATGCTGTTGTTTGCCTTGGATATAATAAACTGTCTCATTATGTCTCATTGATAACTATGGTCCACTAGAGTGACAAGTAACCCATCCTGCACTGGGGTTTCTTCAAGGCCTGCTGTGGAACCCCTGGTATTGCATTAAGAGAAAATACAAAGAGTATTACAAATGAGCAGCCACCCAGCCCCTTTTATTCATTTTGGTTGTTCAAATGACTAAATTGTGATTTTAATGCTAAGCTTAATGAATCTATGGTCTGATTCTCCAGTAGTACATGCACAGTACAATATATTGTTTTGGTTTTACAGGTACTGGGTCGAAAAATGAAAACAAACTAGTTCACTACAAAAGAAAATATTATTACTTATATTATTATTACACACACACATATATATATATATATATATATATTTTTTTTTTCTTTTGTAGTGAACTACGAGTGCTTTGGATTACGAGCACATTTCCGCAATCCGAGGTTTTAATGTATGTGTGTATGTATTTTATTTAATTTTTTTTCCCTATTACTCATATATATTTTTACTAAGAGAAGTAGTGTTTGTAAACTGTAACTTATGAATTTAGAGATCAGTGGTCATTGTTGACACACCATACAACAACGAAATGTGTCCTCTGCATTTAACCCATATGTGACGTCGTGACATAGCAGGGGGCAGCTAATTCGGCGCCCGGGGTGCAGTGCTTGGGGGCTATACTTTGCTCAGGGTACCTCAGTGGTGCGTTGCTTGTCAGGGATTCAAACCGGCAATTTTTCAATGACAAGTGTGCTTCTCTAACCATTAAGCCACCAGTGCCCACAAAATATTTCATTTCAGGTCCAGAAGCTACAGATCCAGACCAAGATTTTGTTTTAACCAACCAGTAGAGTATTCTGTGACTGTCACTCTTTATGCTCAGCTGGTTTGGTATTATGTGGCATTGGAGACTTAATTAATACATATAGCTCTGGTTCTTACAGTTTCAACAACTTCAATTAAGTAGAGCTACAGATATTCCACTGGCATGAAACATTCAGTGTACAATCAAATGTTTTAAGCAACATGCACGTTTAAATCACAGAACTTGTGTAAATCCAATGTTAAATGTTTTATACTTATTTTAAAATAACACATAAACAAAAATAGTTGTTTTCTCCCTTAAAATGTACTTAATACTTAACACGCTAACAAAAAGACTTTGTTTTCTTTTTAAAAAACATATTGATTTAAATATTTTATACTTAATTAAAATAGCACATTTAAGTTAAAGGGTTTAATTCCTTGATTAACACATCAGTGGTACTGCTCTTTGCCGCACCATTACAGAGGCCGGAACATGTCTGTTTTAAAGTGTTTAGGTTCTTCCTCAATTCTTATTGCCTATATGATTTATAGCACGTTCATACTAATTTAAAATATCACTATAACAAAAAGAGACTTACATTCTTAAGAAAAACAAACTATATGTGTCTGGTGTTTTTTGATAAGTGTTCTGTGCTCCAGCATCAACGTGTGGTATGGAAACTGCACTACAGCAGAGAGGAAAGCTCTGCAGAGGGTGGTGAAGGCTGCACAGAGAATCATCGGAGTCAGCCTCCCCACCATCACGGACATATACACCTCCAGATGCAGGAAGAGAGCCACCTGCATCATGAAGGACCCCACTCACCCAGCACACACACTTTTTGTGCCACTCCCCTCAGGCAGGAGGTTGAGGAGCATTAAGTGTAAAACCACCAGACTGAGAAACAGCTTCATTCCGGTAGCTGTAAGACTCTAGATAATGGACAAGCACTTTACTTATGGACGAATCACTACTGCCGCTTTAGTGATACCGTCACTTTACAAGTGCAAGCTATCTAGCCTTCATTTGCTGCTATAATTATAATTACTGCTATAATTATAATTATAATTATATTATATCTCTGCCATACTGGTATTAAGTTGGTGCACTTTTTTTATTACTTTAATTGTACTTCCTTTACTTTTCTTATTTACTTTATTATTCATTATTGTTTATTATGTTCTTGTTTTATTGGGTTAACCGGCACCTCATGCAAATGGGATGCGAATTACAATACACTTCCTTGACCTTGACCTTGATAATGAGCATGAGCTCTAAAGACCGCCCCTTGAATGCATGCGTATGCGTATGTTCTCAAACTAATTTTAACTGAAAAAGTGTCTAGGGGTCATTGCTGACCTAAGGAGTTAATTTGCAGGTGGCACACGTATCTGACTAAAGAGCCTAATGCTTAGGTAGCTGCGCCTTAATAATATAAGAAGCCTGTAGCTAGGTCAAATTAAGCAGCATATAGTTAACGGCATAGTTTGGTGGCTACCTACCGGTCATCCAGTACAATTGAGACAGCTAGGCTACCTAGCCTATGTTGTATACTAATAAATGTAAATGGCGCTGTAGGATGTCCAACTACATAAAGTCTAGGCTTTCAGAGCATTATGTCTAGGACCTCTCCCACCTCACCGTGTGCCACACCAAAGACTCTTGTGCTCAGTACAATTCTGTTCGACATACTGCCTCCTCCATTTCCCATTCTTAGAGATCGTGGTAAAGTGAAAATGAAACTCTGTTCATTTTCACTCAGCACTCTCTCACTGCAAAGTGGTTGATGAGGGTACTGTTGAATTAGGACTATGTTTTGTTAAGTATCAAGCAGGCTGCTGCTCGGTTACCAAGTGCCCAGCTGCTCTAAGCATAGATAGGGTGAGGGGTCTTCTTGTAGCAAAACCGACATTTACAGAACAGTGTCTTTTTTAAAAATAACTAAAGCGTAATTCTTTAAATATTTAATATGCTTTTGATGTGTGCTGCTAAATGCAGACTACTAGTACCTACTAATATTAACTTAAGTTAAAAAAAATTGATGCCCCCAACTTAAAAGACTTAGGAACTAATTACATCACCTTTTTTGAGTTATGTCAACCTCTGGTTTATTTTATGCTGTACAGACTAATAATTTTAATTTGGCCGAAAAACTTTTACGTCAACTTACAGTCAAAGTACCAATAAAACAATATTATTTATTAGAAATACCAGCTTAAAAAAGTTGATGAAATTTGTTACTTAAACGCTTATGCCGGTTCAGACATTGCCGGTTACATATATGAAATTCCTTAAAATGAGTAAATATAATATACAATTTTAGAGTCAAGCCACTTTCCTTTACCAGCTTGGAAAATTAATAAACAATATAAAGCTTGAGAACGCTAGCTTGGTATTTTCACAAGAACTACACACCCATTGCTCACACATTTTTTACAGTAATATGCCATGAGAGACAAGGTATG